AGTAGCTGGAATGTTTTTAGGGGAGAAAAGCTTTTGAGATCCATCAGTATATTTTCATTTCTTGTTTCAGTGTTCTGCCGGTGAGATCTAACAGTTATTTTATAATGCGTTGTTGTAAAGAGATGTAATGACTGTTGTATACTAAATAAATTGTGTAATTTGAAAATCACTTTTTTGGTTGTTTCTGTGTTGGGCAGGATTGAGAAAGGTGCAGTTAGGGAATCAGCCATGGTTCAGGCCATGTGGAGGAAAGCAAAGTATTTTTCCCCAGAAAGTTTTGACTTTTCTCAAGCTTGGTACATTGCATGTATCACTGACTTTCTGCATCATCTTTGTGCTTTAACAGCTTGCTGGACTTCCTTTCCCTGTTACAAGTTAAAGGTGTATCAGCCATGATTTTTACCAGTCATCCACCAGTACACCTTAACTTTGGCAAGGTCAGTCGACTGAGGCAGCTACTCTGTTTAAGTAAATATAATTTGCTTTGAGCAATGGAGATGTGCTTGTTTCCACGTGGTAGCTCAGGCTTTAGTGTTGTTAACTCAATGAAAAGAAACACACATGCATTGGGAGAGAAAAATTACCTGTATCAGATGCTTTATTTGAATTAGGATGTCCTGATATAGGTAAACGTTTAAAAGTGTGGGTGTTGTGTTAATTAGGTACAGACAGGACTTTATAAGATTAATTTAATTAATGGCATGTGATCATAAGGTGGTTATGCTTGCATAGTGGGGGTTCTGGGTTCCAGAGAACCTGGGTTCTCAAAAACCTCCTCGTTCAACAGTTACCAATGGCGTGGTGCAAGCTGTTTATTCAAATCCCCAGGAAATGGCCATGGGTTTTAGCATTTCTAAAATTAAGAAGATGCTCAACTTCTGCTCGCCTAATCCTGCTCCTTTTACAGCCACGTTCCCTTCTAAACCTGCTGGTCCGAGACAGTAGGTCAGGCCTAAGGACAACCAGCTTTCATATGGCTTGTCTATATGTTGCGTACTTGGAATGTTATTTTGAAAGAGGAAAAACAGAGAGATTACTGTAGTTGACAGGCAGACAGATTAAATACTAATATCCACACGATTATTTAAATTTCAGACCTTTACAAGTATTTTATACTAAATAAAATGTTCTTACTACATGTTTAAAGTCTGTAAAGAATGTGGAAGAAGATTAATAAAAGTACCAGATTACTGAAAATCCCACTACCTAGGGACCCAGTGATGGTTTTTATTCCATTTTTTCTTCCCACCACCCCCCCCCCCGCCCCGCACTGCAAAGCTTTCTGTTGTCAAGCCAGCTGTTCCTCTTCTTGAGCGACGGCAGTGCTACGCTGCGATAAGCTTGTTTTGTAAGGGTACTGAAATACTTGTATGTGTCTGTGTAGACGCAGAACAAGTGAAGATATGATTTCAGAAGTTGCACTGTAATTAAAAGAGCAGCATGCAAATTAAAACATTAATTAAGTGAACTAATTAGTAATCCCTAGAAAGAGGAAATGTAGGCTTTAATAGGGCATGACAGCTGCAAATGAGTGTGGCCTATTACTGAGATTGTATCTACACAAGTTCCTAGAGCAGCTTTAAGATGTTTTCGGTGTACCCTGTAAGACGCAGGGCTAACTGCAGGGACACAGCAGCTCCGGGGCTAGGGCGCGTCGTGGGAGTTACGGTTGTTTACAACTGAGCGCCGTAGCTGAGGCAGGAGCAGGAACAGGAGCAGGAGCAGGAGCAGGGCAGCCCCTTCAGGCTGGCTTCCAAAGTGCCCGTCTGGGAGTGGCAAGAGGCGCCGTCTCAGCCCTCAGCCTCCCGCCTCTGCCGCTGTGCCTGCACAGCCCGGCCGGCCCTGTGGCTCCCAGTCGCCCAGCTACAGCGTTGTCGGCTCTCGCCCAGGGACCACGTACGTACTTCACGGATGGAGAAAGAGCTTCAACAAGTGGGACCGAGACCTCGTCTCGCAGAATGCTCTGCAGTCGGGTTATCTGGGCACGTTCCGGGGAAGGTGAGCGAGTTGCCTTTTTCCCCAGGTGCTCGGTAGCTGCTTTAGCTGTGACAGGCGCAGAGCGAAGCACCACTGACTCCTCTGCCAATCGCGTCTTGTTGCAAACCTGAACTTGGTATTCACGTGGGAATGACTTAAGTTCCCAGGCTGGGGGTGGGGGGAAGGAAGGAAAATAACTGGAGCGTTTTGAGGTGTGATGGTGTCTTGCTGTTTGTCCTGCCCGTCAAGCCTGGAGATCCTTTGACCGTCCACTTTCTCTACCGGAACGTGTGTCCTGTTGCAGACTGTGACTTTTAGGGGTCACCGTGCGCACCCTACATGTCACCACCTTCTCAGCACCTAAAACCCCAGACTAGGGAATAACCCTGTGGGTAACACAACCTGAACAATTCTATGGAATCGAGTCTTAGACTAATTGTGCCTGTTGCAAAACCCAGAGCCAGGCTGTATGCAAACAGCACCGGGCTGCCTGAGCAGTACTGCTCTGCGGCCCAGCCGGGTGCAACCCGCGGGAAGCGTCAGCCATGGCAATGTGTCTTTTGAGCGTGTACCTAAAGCCCGAGTCCACACATCAGTTAGAAGCAACTGCTGCTTCCCTTGGCTTTTCAGGCAGAACAGCACAAGTGACTCATGCCTGTGCATCTATCTGATCAAAGCTGAGAAATAATTCAAGGGTCCAAGCTTTAGTCAACCTTAACTATATGCAAGGAAGCAACATCATATACAGAAGTCTTATTTATTATTGGTACAGTGCCCGAGATAGGCATGACACTTTACAGGCAAATAAAGACAGTCCTTGCCCCAAGGAGCTTACAAGCTAAATTAAATTAAAACCAGCCAAAATGACAGCATATCCATTGTTCTGGGAAGAACACAAGGTATGCAGACAAAATTACTGTTGTTTGGGGAAGGAGTAAGTTTTTGTGCATAATACATATTTACTTCATTTTCCCTATCCTGTTTGTGACTGCTTTGCTCATGGAATGCAGAAGCTGACAGACCTGACTTGTGAACACTGCGAGGTACCGTTGCCACTTTCCTCACAGGTAAATCCATCAGTAAAATTACAGAATCATAGATGACGTGCTGTCTGTGAATCCTAACTATTAGGCATGGCTAAAAATGGCCTTTAGCTTTTCCAGATGGAAATGCCACAGCATCTGCAGCGTGTAACCCTTGGTTAACTGTGCTCGGGATTTCCCAGGGTGTCACAGCTGCACGCGAGAACCAGGTACTGCGTGAGCCTGTCTCATTTGGGAAAGGTGCACATTCCTCTAGCCTGCAGACTGCGCTGACCTATTTGTTTAGGTTTTGAACACACACATAAAATAAAAGCCAGACCCACCCCCCAAAACAACCTACTGAGGCAACTGTAAGCAAAGCAGTTACAGTGTCTTTTACAATACATTATTTTACACGTTCTTTTAATGAAACAAATTATGTTAGACTCTATACAATATGTTCGTATTGTCAGCCAATAAGATCATATATAAGTATAAATAAAGAAAAAAAATTTAAAAAAATAAAGAAACAGCACAAAATAAGATTGTGTTCTTGCTGCGCTTTATTCCATTTATATATACAAGTGGTGTCAATTTAAAAAAAAAACCAAAACAATTAATGTTACGGAGCCTTCTCCCAAATACTGTCAAGTTTAAAAAAAAAAAAAAATCCAGCACCCTGGCTGGGTATTGGCGGGACTGATGATAATTTAGAGCATCACACCCCACCCCGCCCTGCAACCCGTTAGTTTTTCCCTGTGTTTCTCTGGCCCCAGTTGATCATGATTTTCTACCAAAACACAGCCGAGAGAGGCCTGTAGTGTTACGTGCTGTCCTTCGTGGGTTTTGGAAAATCACCATCTTTGAATTATTAGACTTTCGCCAGGGGTTTGTTTATCACAGGATTTTAGTTTTAGAAGTCCCAGTGCTGGGTGACGTTCTTTTTTGGGTCCAGGAAAGACTTCTGCCAGCCCAAGGACACTGTGTACCCTGACACCATCCAAGGGACGCTGTTTTCTTCACTGAAAAGGCAGCTGTGGCCCCAGTCAGCGCTTCCTGGCAAGGCGTTACTGGGCTGCAATGGTAGCTGGTCAGTGCTGCTAGGGAAACAGCCGATCTCCAGCCTCTCAAGCCCAATTCTTGCAATGCTTCTATGAAAGGTTTAGTAAAACATGGGGTACAGGATTGTAGATGCAAATGACGTGGCTCAGGCTGGTCCTTAGTTTAGGGTCAGTTTAGTAGCCCATGAGGAATGAGAGATCATGGCAAACTGCTACTGAAATTCCTAACTAGTGACCTTTGAGACCTCAGAAAACCTGGTGTTTAATCAAGGAAAGTATTTAGTTGCAAGCAGCTGACTTGATGGTTGTGCCTAAATTCAGTTTCTGCATTTATATAACAGCAAAATGGGATTTTCATTGAGTTCTAATTGAAGTTCAGGATCCCCATCCATGCTGCTTCGTTCCTTTACCTGGATCCACAGACTCTCATCTGCACTAGGTTCAGGGAGCAGGTGCTGTAACTGAGCCTCAGTCAGGGAAACAAGGATATAATCTAACATGTCCACAAGAAAAAGACAATGTGCTTTTTTTCTTCAAATAACTGCTAAAGCTCCTACTGAACAGCACACAGCATGCGTTCTTCATGCTTTGAGCACCACCTTAGCTTATGTACACAGGATCTCTCAGAGTCCTTTATTACCTTAGTGACAAAAAAATCTCTTATTTCTTAAACACTGTATGTGAATGACTAAGTACCCCAAGTTCTGCCTTTAGTCTTTCCAATAAGTTTATATCCCTAAATGTAAATGTCCAGAATGTCACAAGATTAGCTCCTACTACTAAATTTTTCAATTGGATGCAAAGCGTGGCTCGTTAGTGGGATTGTGACCACCTATAGTAATGGGGAAAAAAAAAAGGCGGGGCCTAGTACATAGCAGGAGCATGAAAAACTGCCCGTCACCCTTACTTCCAAAACTGTGACAGTAGTAGACTTGGTGATCTACAGGTCTTCTGCATCTATGTGTGAGTACAGTTCACTTAGTTTCTCAAACTTTGGTCCCCACTCTTTGATGTCATCATACACTATCCCCTCATCCAGCCCAGAGGAGCTCAGGGTGCTCAGACTGCTGGCGACCGAGCCTTCTCCTTCGGTGCAGAACACCCGCAGCGAGTCTTGGGCTACAGCCTGGGGATGACGGTCAGCACCTCTGACAACATCGGACAAGTACTGACCGAAGTCTGCGCTGGTAAAAGAGGCTTCTGTCGTCGCTGGCGCCTTGGTCTGCTCCTGCACACTTGGGGACGTGTCACTAAAGAAACTGCTCAGTTTCAGTGGCTTTTCTTTCTTGCAGAGGGAATAGGCTGGGCTGGTTTGAATAGACACCTGCAGTTCTGCCATGTTGTACGCGTCCTGGAGTGAGAAACCGTTCACGTTAAATTAATATTCTCTACAGGTCCCAAGACTTCAGATTGTAGTGGAAATACAGAAGGAAAACTCCTGAGGCAGCCTGTTTGGTGTGAACGCTTGGAACCAATTCTGCCACCTACAGTGCGCCTAAGCAAGCCAAAACCCACTAAGCAGATGAGAATGCATGAGGAGCACCTGTGCAGCCTGCACTAGTACAGTCAGGTTCAAAATCAAGTCTCATTTCATATTAGAAGCTAAATAAAAATCACAGAAGTGCCCCAAATTTGGTTCTGAAATTCAGATCGGCACATTGTATCATCATTGAACACTGACACCAAGTCTGACAACAAAGGTGAGAAAGCACATTCACAAACAGCATGTTAAAAGAAATCTTTCTGCATTAGTTCAAACATCCGCTATGATTTCTGTTAAAATTTTATCAATCTGTGGACTAATGGCTAGTTCTGCTACATGCAAGTGGCGTGACTGTAAAAGCCAAGTAACTCCCTATTAAAAAAAAAAATCCCCTTCTAGTGCAGAGCAGTTAATGCTCTGATAATGTGCTGCCGTTCCTGAAGTGCAACTTCTGTCGCTCGAGCTACCGACACCGCACGTCAACTGCCCTGACTGATCAGAATCTTTGTGCCAGCTGAAAGAAAAGCTGTGCTGCCCTGCAGCGTCCTTCACCTTCCGACAACCCAAAGGTCGTGTCTCTGGACTTATTTACAGGCCGAAGAAGAATGCTGACAGGCTGTGAGACAGAATTCGTTAGAGCGAACAAGTAATTACTTGTATTGCTCGTGCGATTCATCTGTGTAGGAGCCATCAATGACAGAGCTGTCAAACCAGCGGTTACATTTATGCTCTCGCATGTAGAATTGCGCAGAACCATTCTGTGAGAGATTAACCTCGGTAACCTCGGTGAGCTCTGCTGGATTCCAGTCGGAGACAGAGAACCCTTCACAAAAAGCAAGCAACCCACCTGCAGTCAACAAGCCTCGTAAGCGGCAAGGACTAGGGTTCGGGGCAGGACTGTAACAGAGAAAAGCTGCTGATTTCCATCCCCCCAGAGACTCAGCACTGTTAGTGACAGACAAGGGGAGACCCGCAGCGCAGCGCCTACCCGAGGCATGTCCTCAGTGCAAGCTGCAGCATGACCCCGCGCCGAGCACTTCACAAGAGCAGGGCTACCGGCACAATCAGTAAAACGCCGCAGCTTTTCATCGTACGGAATTTAAATGGGAGTTTGTCCAAATAGATGTAACGATCACCCCTTCAGTGAACTGTGTGATATTAAAATCATCCTTCACTGCTATTACTGTTCATTAAAATGACACATTTCTTCTGATTATGCCCCACTCTTAGTCGGCAGTCCACAAACCCAAGTCAATCCTTGCCTCTAGCTTCAAAGCTGGCTTTTAACAACATTTGGTGTTTAGCTGCATTAAGTATGTACTCCACAGTGCACTAATCTATTACAATTTTTATGAACTCCTCATTTCTCCAAGGGATAGTTTTATTTATTTCAGGTGCAGAAGCCCCTTAGTAAGACAGTGTCTTGTCCCTGTAGTCCTACCCTCTGCTAACGTTACAAAGACAAAACTCTCTTCTTCGAGCACCCTCATCATCTTTTTGTTAAGGTAACATTAGAGTATAATTAAGGTTTTGTAATTCTGGGTATTCGGGTTTTTTTTTTTAAAAAAAACTAGACAAACGGTTAGGTATTAAAAAAGATACTGGAAAGTTTTAGCTGAAATCCTAGAAGGTGTAAAATCTGAGTACTTAGTGTACAGAAGCTGTAGAGGCACTCCAAGCAGCATTTCTTCAAGACAGAAAAATAGCCTCAGATGAAGATGATCGAGTCACTAATTTGATTCCACTGCTTAAAACAAGGAGCGTATTTTAAGAACTCTCCAAAAGCAATTAAGCGTGTCATACAGTAACTGTGGATTTCCTCAGTCGACAGACCTCTGGGTGTAAAATTGCAAAGTATTGCAGAGGAAGTTAATCTGATTAAGGAAAACAGGGGTTTTGCATAGAGCTATGTTATCACATGGAAAATGTCCCTGTATTTGTTATGGTCACACTAATTCATCAAGAAATTAGGGATACTTTACAAGGAAGAATATTTTCTTGGGTGGCCTTGTAATAAAACACTCTCTGTATTTTATAACTAAAAATTCTTGAAGGTATTTGGAATTTTGGGACAGGGTCACATTTATTAATTTTTTTTTTTAAATCACTGGCTTTTTTGAGCCATCACATTAGTGCCGTGACTATTGTTATCTCTTCAGAGTCACACCACCTTTTCAACCCATGAAATGAACAGTTTCAAAGGTGGCAATGAAGTTCCTTCCCTTTTTTAAACATAGCAAATGTCTGTGGGTCAGCAAATCATCTATTTAAATTACCTGTCTGTAGTATCTGCAGTTTTCGTTCAAAGTTCTGGCTTAAACTGACATGTAGAAATCCTTAAAACAGCTAGCAGAAACGTTAATATCATCTGTTTGGGGTATAATTTGGTCTACTGTAAGCATAAACACAGCTTGTGTTCACTAGTGTTATTTCTCTCCAACACAGACAAATGCAGAAAGGTTCTTCCACGACCACCATGTGCTTTAGGGCTTACGAGGAACAACTGTAGCACCTCGCTTTCTGAACAAGTCAAGTCTGAATAACTGACTCCAGAAAAAGACTGTCCGTAAAGCACAGTTCACGTCAGGCTCTTTCAAGTCCTCACTGCTACAGAAATAATCACCACCGAGAACCTCAGCAGCTCCTGAGCCGTGAAACCAAAACCATCAGCTGTTAGTTCTTCAGGGCTAAACTCGCTCTACAGGCATTTTTAAATATGCACACAGGAACACTTGCTTTAAGACAAATTAAAAATTGATGGGCACTTATCTCCGCTTAAGAAACACGCACCCTTGTGTACATAACCTTGCAAATAATTCATCTACCAATTGCAGAAATGAGTCAGCAGAGCAAAGGCTACGGTCCTCAGTTATAAAGGAAAAGCATAAAATATATTTTCATTAGCACGGTGAGCCACCAGTCCCCTCTTAATTGTAACGTAACGTAACGCAACGATCCTTACTTCGTCTTGCTCCCCACCTCCTTCTTCATTGTAGTTTAGGATATTTTCTCTGATGTCCTCCAAATCCTCATGATGCGCAGACACGTGGTAGACTCCTCCGTTCAGACCTTTGCGAGTCTTCCAGCGAGCCCACAGGAACGCGGCACTGAACAGAGCTGGGTAAACACACAGGAGCAAAACAGAACGTCACCCAGAAACAACGGAACGCTCCTGCGGGGTGGCTTTCCTGCAGGAGTGCTGCAGCGCTGGTCTGCAGCCAGAGCCAGCAAGGCTGTAGTTTTGTTTCTCAGCAAATCTTTGATTTTTGCACTCTTCAGTGTAGTTAAAAGTGAACATCAGGCAGAAGAAAAGGCCTTTAAAGAGCATTTTAAAATACCCCTTAAGGTACAGCTTGTTAAAGACCTGAATGGCCCACGTGGTGTTCAGAGACCTGTTTCCCGTACCGAGTTAAACTTTGTAAGAGAAAATGTATACAATGGGGTAGCACTTCAGGAGCAATGTGTTGACAGTAACAGATACAACTACACAGAAATGAAGCACAAGAAGACATGAGACAAAAGAGGAAATCACTTCTATACATTTTACTAGGAAAAAAAAAAAAAAAATCAGGCACGTTTTGCCTTAGCATCCATGAATTTAAACATTTTTCTTAAACACTTAGATGCATTTTACACACTGACAGTTGTAAAGCTTCAACAGCAGAAACTGAACATTACATAAACAGAAGCTTGTGCACCACTGTGTTACCAACTCTATGCAAATGGCTAAAAGCTCACAGTAAGACCCCAAACCATGGGACACCACCACCTAACAATGCCGTGAATTAAGGAGACTGGGATCTCTTACAGAGCATCTGCGCGGCAGAGGGCAGTTCTGCGGAGCAGCATCTCGATGGCCTTGGGGCTGACGCTGGTGTACACCCTGCCCTGGGCGGCTCCACCCTTCACGCTGAATCAGTGCGCTGGAGAGGTTTATTTACCTCTTCCTGCCATGCCCCCCCCCAACTAACAGAACGTGTCACACAGATTTTCACACATGTGGTAACTTTTTGGCAGTAATTTTTTAGCTGAGCTGATTTTGAGATACTCAAGGAGTCTTTTAACGTTCCTCATCTCTCCTGTTCTTCTACTGTGCCTGCTCGCAGGAAGCCAATACTGAAGATGAACATAGCCCGTGTTCCAAGAGTGTAACCAGGGCGCAAACCAGACGTACCCCACTGAAGACAGTACCTCTTCCACACAGACACCCAACAGTGTAAACTCCTGCCCGATTTTCGGCTCGGGATCTTACGATCCTGAGCTGTCATTAAACAGAGCTGTCACTAAAAGCATTCTATGAAGCCTGTTGTTTCTTTGAGCCACCGCATTCGTGTCGGGGCACTTGCAAGCTCCCAGGTATCGCTGTGTCTTTGCACAAAACGAGCTGAGGTCCCCTCCTGGCAGGGAGGGTGGGGAAGGTTCAGTGGTATCAACCAACGTGGAGCCGCCCTGGTATGGATTTACATGCAAAGCGGTTCCACATTTGAATTTAAAAGACGTAATCAGACACCAGAAAAAGAGCTTTTCTAATCCTCTGTAACCTTACCAATTTATAATTAAAGTTGCACGAGGTAATCACTTTTATGTGCATTACTGCCTTCTAGAAGCTGTGTAAGAGCATGGGCATCCAAAATCTTGAGAACAAGGAATTTTATTAAAATTCTCCTAACAAAGTAACTCCTTACAGTTGTGTGATAATACCATTGTTAACCACACCTACTAAAATTTTCAGAACAATGCACACCACTTGGTTAAAAACAGCTGTTTCTTACTCATAATTTAGGCCTGAAAGACTAGCAGGATTATTAGGTAAAAGATATTGCTGGTTTTTCAGTCAAGTTTAGCCAAGCACAGGCAGCAACACAAAGTCAGCTCACAGTAAAGCTGCTCTGACACAGAGGAAAAACAAAAACAAAACCCAAAAAAACCCCAACACCCGTTTTAACATATGAGCTATGATCAACCTTCCAAAAGGTGTGAAGCCAGTTAGCTTCCCCTGTTATTTGCTGTTCCTCTTTGCATGTCAAACATAGCATCTAGAAGAGTTGGGAAAAATGATGGTATTTGATGTAGCTACACAGATGGATTCAAAATAGTCCACAATAACATCTTCATACTCTGACTTCCGAATGGAAGTTAGTTAACACTGCAAGCCATGAGAAAAATCCTATGTCCTTATTTAGGCAAACTTTCATGAAACTTGAATAAACAAGAAGGATTCGAAGATGTGATCCTTCCTCACTAGTGAGATGCTTCTTTGCCTTTCCTCTTCCTTTTTAAGACCAGTGCCTAAGCCTGAAAATGGTTAAGGAAGCCAAAAGCAGCTGTTAGAGGAGCTGTGACACAACTGGCAAGAGGGAAGAGACTGCTCCTGTCTAACCAAGTGTATTCCTATTGGACAGTATACTTCTCCTAGACTGAAAAATGGGTTTAATGCTCAGTAATATTTTAAACAATGCTTATCTGGTAGCAATTTCAACTCTTGCTGTTCAACTGAATTTGCTTCCAATTATGCATCTGAACAGTTCCTTAACAATTAAGTGCAAATGTGCAAAGACTTTCCATAGCTCCCAAATCTTGATTCACTTAGCAATACATGCACACAGGGATGAAAAATAAGTGACTGATGGAGCTGAGACCATGGCAAAGAAATGAAGGCAGAGTCAAGTCTCCATGAGAAAACTGAGATTTTCAGCGGGAGGATGAGATGACAACTATTCAGGACAAGATGGATCAATGAGTTCACCACAGGTAATACAAGATGTAGTTGCCATAACTACCTAACAGCGCCAAAAAGCAAATGCAGATGGCAAACATGGAACTAAAGCTCAGGCCTGTATCCTTGTGAAAGATCGCCAGTGTGATTTCACAGTTACGTCCAGTATAGCCATCAGGGCAGTGGCATTGGAACTCGGCTGGTGACCGCGGGATGCAGGTACCATAGTTACAGGGCCTTTTAGCACATGCAGTGTAGACACACTGTCTACCAGTGGCATTCTCCATGACCATGTGTCCCGGAGGGCAACTGAAAAGATGAAGGCAAAATGAAACCATTAAACTTTGAGAAGAGGAGGCATGAAAGACAGTATTTAAGATTTTAAAACAGACTTCGATGACACTCTATATACAGTATCTGAAGTAGCTACTAGAACTAAGTTACTTAGAATAATTACAGGATGGTAGTTTTTTCTTAACCAGCCATACAACAATGAGCTCCACAACTTCAAACCCTTACGTCTGGGGCTTTCAGAACTTGGGTACTTCCACTGGCTTCTGCAAGATTACCCACGTGAAAGATAGTTGGATTAGGGTCTGCAGTTCTGTCCAGGCAGGACTAGTTATGCTATGTTCCCTGTGTTTCCATTACAGTGAATTTCCAGGAGAAAACACATCTCTAGAGAGCCCTGTTTGTGTGGACACTGGCAGTCAGTAATGCTTGAAGTGTATGCTTTCACAGCACAACTAACTTGAGTTAGTGTTGTCCTAACCTCAGCCCCAGCCACACACAAGAACTCTGAGCTTAACGATGCGGTGCTTCTAACGCAACTGGAGTGGCCTGTAAGGGAACAGAGGTCACAGCTTAAGACAGTGTGAGAACTCAGACACTGACAAAAGCGAGCGCATCGACATCACACAGCATGAGCTTCACAAGGCAGCTAGCCAGGCCAGTGTTCCGCTCCACTCCAGCCAACATACCCTCTTTGCCCAGTTTTCAGGGTTTACAAACATTCTGGATTTGCTGCTGTTCTTTAAACATTTCCAATTAAGACAGGCAGCTGAAATTGTTACAGAATCAATGGAGAGACGCGGATTTGCACCCGCTAAGGGTAGTACCTAAGAGAGTAACGCGACGGCTGCGCAGGCATCTAGCTGAAGTGTTTCACTGCGGTTCAACTGATTTGATGAGATTGCCAGTGGCAGCCTTCAAGTTGCACCCTTTTTCCGCATCCGCCCTATCCCACCTGAATCTGGAGGGGTTTGTGCTTTTATTTCCACCAATTACCTGCATTCGTGCAGCATCCACAAATCAATACAAATAAATTCCTGGTTACAAGGGTTATTCCTACAAGCCTCTGAAGAACAGCCTTCTTTGACGCCTTGGGCACTTAGTACTGACACCAGCTCCTTCACGTGAGTACCCAGAGGGATCCTGTAGTTATTAAATCTGACATCCTTCATACACCCTGAGGCAAGGCACAAAGAGACTGTTTTAAAAGCCATTCAGCAAGAACAATTTGAAGCAGATGTAAGATTTGGCAGGTTACGTTTAACAAAGGACCCAGGCTACCGAAGTTTAAATCTAGGACTGAATTTACCTAAACTTTCATAGCAATGTTCTCTGGTTTTTGACTGAATTTGTTCAAGTTTTGATCAAGATCCCCAGCATTTTCCACAAGAACCAGTGCTGCAGCAGACCCCTAGCTGCTTGCGTTCGTGACAGTGGAACACATACCCCCTCACTATGTTTTCAATAGAAAAGTCCAAATAATGTGAAAAATCTGTTCTATGTAGAAAATCTGTAATATTCTTCAATGTGTACCAGTATAAATTGTGTTTGGTTGACTTTTAATTGTAATTTACATCTTAACTTTACTCTGAAGAGCAAACCACAAATAATGGAGACACAGCACCACTGGGTGACTGATATAAATTTTGTACTGAAGATGCGTGGCATTCACGTCGTATGCATGAGATGCCCCCGCATACAAGCATACATCTTGATGAATTAAGTACATTTTGTAACTTCAAAGCCCTTAAAGTTTCAGCTGCTTAACAACAATAATTGTCCTAATTAAAACGACTTTCACGTAACTATTTGACTTCTTTAATCTATTTACTTAAAACCAAATTCTATTGCTCCCATAAATAAAAATCCAAAATATGGTCCCTAGTTCTCAGCATAAACCTTAGTTACTGGAATACTTCTAGTGAAACCATAGAAAACAATGTTTTCCTAAATAACTCCCTGATACATTTATTCTATTTAATGCATATACGATTTATATGTTTTCTCCTTGCACTGTTAACTGTAATACTTTTATCTAGTGAAAACATTACTGCCTTGTTTCAAATGGATTTACCAGAATCTGGTTAAATAGGTGAAAGGCATGGGAGAGAGAGATGACAGACAGATACCAGGTGCATTTAACCAAGTAATGGTGTGTGTCTTCCTTGTCAATATAAAAGATGTGCTGCATAACTGCACATTACTTATACTGTGATTTTAGGCGAAGGGTGAGCTGCCAGCTGAGGACAGAGTAAAAAGCTGTTATGGATATCTTAACCTTATGTTTCTCTATATTTCTCCTTTGCGTAACTATTCAATTTCCAAGCTGAAGAGATTTGTTTTGAAGAGACATCATGACCTTGTCTACTCAGTTGCTAAAAACTTAAATTGTTAACTCTAATTCAATAAACCATTTCTAATCTTAGTTAATGCTTCAACTGAGTGACTGTAAAATCCAGTAATACAAAGGTAGTGCACAAAGGCAATAAACCAGAGCTTGTTGTGTGCTATGCAATGCACGTATAAAAAGGAAATACTCCTTTCAGCATAGAGACAGTTATGGCTGGTAGTGAAGGACAGCTGCCAAATGGGCTGGACAGAACCACGCAATGAACCACTGTGATGCAATGAGCCATCCACAGTCCACCCCCGAGAAGCTTGTGGATCCCCAGTTACAAGTACTGTACATAGAGCCGTGTGAAGAGGTTATGTCTTTGTTCCAAGTCCAGTAGCTAACAGTATTTGCACCTAACGCCCTGCTGCACCTTTTTCCTAGTCAGGGCGGTTTATTCGTCCCTTTTGCAAAGTGTCATGCAAGAAATCTATTTAATTTGGGTTCTACGTAAACAAGAAGGCTCCTCGCAACATGCCCATGTAGTACCAATAAACCTTCTTTTTTACAGGTCCATATTCTGAACAGTGAGATCAAGAATTTCTCACCTTGAAAACTCTTGTTTTGATTGAATGGGTAGGTGTTTCCAAGGACCAAGCTGCTGGGGTCAATCACAATCTCTTTGTATATT